ATTCAAACTCCCAAAGCAGAATTTGTCCTTCAATTTAATTATTTTTGCTTCAAGAAAAATAACATTTACTTTGACATGTTTGTAGCTTCATACTGATAAAAGGTTTACAGTCCCATCATGCTAAAACAATGGTTCTTGAAAATCACCAAAATTAGGCAAAGTTGAGCCAGATGGGTGATTGCTTTGGAAACCCAGATGCTGTAAGCTTGGATGTGTGGGAGGTGTAATGGATAACATCTCAGAATTGGAAATCGGAGAGCAGAGTTCCAATTCTGGTTGGGTTCATTATATTCACTTATGCACAAATAACTTTAGGAAATGTATGAATCCAACTCTTCTCCCCTCAGCTATAGGTTAATTAGTAGAACTTATCAGTAAAAATCATCATTATTTCCAAAACATTCTTATAATCCAAAAACATTTTCTGGTTTTAAATAACCTGCAAAAGGTTGATAAGCCATAAAAAACTAATCAATCATACAAATAAAAGTTTATATTTTGATGAATAATGTTTTGTCTTCATCACTTAAAATCATTTTTTTAATGAGATTAAATTTTGAAATTAAATTCAGTTTTCACTATATGTAAAGTGATTAAATGCTATGAATGTTGGATAATATGAACATTCCTTTCTGAGAAAATGTAAGTCTATCCAACAATCATTGGATGATAATCCTGTCGTTAAACCAATCAAATTATTGAATCATTGCTGTTAAAAAAAAGAAGAGAAAAGATTTATGATAATTTTATGTTACATTACTAAAAGTTGGTCAATTGGGAAGCCAATTTTACTCAGAGATTTGGAACTAGTCAGCTAATAATAATCATTTGTTCAATGAGAATTGAATAGAATATATAAAGATGAGATAAAGATATAAGTGGTTGTAAATACCTTTCAGTTTCTAATCTTTTTTCACTAAGGGACCAAAAGTTGAAACAAGCATTTTTTTTCTCATTATTTTACTGATTATTTTTTTTTTTACTTATTTCAGGAATTAGACTTGCATGCAGAAATTCTTTTCATTGGATAAGTAGAAAGATATATTCAGTAAAAATGGCTAAAAGAAAAAGATCCATAGCTCCATTTGAATACATAACCTGAAGGATCTTTATATAAAATTTTGTTTATTCGTGCTGAGTAGTGAAAGGCTGGAATCAAAATGATTCTGTTGCAATTTCAGTAGAAATTAGGTTTTTAGATGATGGACTTATTACCTTCATACCACTCCGCCTCCAGTTTTAAATTCTGAGTTGGTCTTCTCATAGACTGGTTGCCAAAAAAAAAAGAAGCTAGAAATCCAATTCTGCCTGCTATTTTATCCATAGCTGGAGAAAAAGAGATGGATTTATAGAAATTTTCTAAGCATAGCTTAGATGTGGCAAAAGGCTGAAAGTATGGGGCACCCAATGAAAATTGAACCCACTATTCAGTTATAATTGATTTAGTGAGACAAGCTTGCTAACCATTATACCATGTCGAGTGTGTTTTGAATTTGAAATTGGCTCACTAATTTCATTTTCTGTAATGCCAACTGTTAAGCCATCCACCATTTTTTTTCTTTTTAGAATACTTACATCAAATTTAATTATTATAGAATGTATGATTAGCAGTTTATAGAATGATAATACTCAGATTGGACCAATCAAAATCATTGAAGTTTTCATAATAAAAGAGAAAAAAAACAATATAAGCATCATAAGAATTTCACATCCTGTCACTTGGAGATTGTCAGTGAACTAATTGAGTGAAATGTATCTAAGAAATGAAAACTATTGAAGAAGAAAAAAAATATTTGAACTCAGCTCTCCAATTTCTCATTCCGACAGTCTCTCTCAAGAAAGTTAATTTTATTTTTAATAATGTTTTGTTATGTTGAATTTTTAACAGAAATTTTTCTTCCAAAGATTGAATTTTTTTTTTTTTATTTTTACACAGTAAAATTTATTTAAAAATGCTATTATTTGTCTGATAAAATTCATTTAATATTTTCTCAATGATATTGTTATTCATAACAAATATCTTGATAATAAAATTTTTTTGTATGACTAATTTGTGTTTTTCTTTGTAAAAAGCATTTACAAAAGTATGTGGAATTTTAGTTTAGTTTCCCATTAAAAAAACAAAATGGAATCAAATGTAATATTGCTATATTACAAAATTAATGAAAAGTCATTCATTAAGAAAGTTGCATAAACTTAATGTCATATAAGTCAATAAATTTAATAATTTTAGGTATTGTAAACAAGGTTAGCTTAACCTTGCTGCTAAAACCTGCATTTTTAGGTATTATTTTTCTACATATTTCTTTAATCATAAAAAAATGTATATTTATGATAAAATAAGTCAGCATAAAAATATTTATTTAATTTCTAAACATTAAAATAAGTTCCTTTCATGTTTAGTGTTTTATATATTTTTGTTTCAAAATCCATAGTTCTAATATGGTTTTTGTTTTATTAAAACAATTTTAAGGTGGATAATTAAAATATTAAAATGTTATAGGTTCAAAGCCCCACCAGAATTATATGGATGTAATATGACCTTGGAAAAGGAAAAAAATATACCAATTATGAACAGGAGTAACGATGATGAAAAGGAGTAACTTTTTTAGTTAAATTATACTCCTAATCTTTACATTTTCTTTGAATTTCTTATGCCAATGACAGTAGAAAATGAAACAAACTTATGACTCCTAGTGGATCAATATGATTTGAAATAGGCCTTCAGTTCTGAACATGAGTTGAGCCATGAGCGATAAAACACTATGAGTTTGAAACAAGACTATAACACAGAATAACCAGTAAGGATGCCCATGTCAAAGTCACCATTAGAGCTGTTTCATTTTGAAGGCACACTTCAAATCAGTGTGATTTCCAATCTTCATCATGACTGCTTGTTTCCAAACATGCCCATCTGCTTAGGCCTATTTGTGTTCCTTCATTGCCCACAGAGCCAACCTGCAATTTATATTGCAACTATACTGAGTAGATCTTAGTTACAGTTCAATTATGGTTTGGTTTACAGCATATCAAAAACTCATTGGGTTATTTAATGCTGACAAGTTTTTATTGCTGATATTAAAACCTATTTTTACACTTTCCTAGTGTTTTGACCCCAGTTTGGAGGTTAACTATTTGCCCATAGCTGGGAGCCTAACAATTGCTACCACACCAGGTCAGGGTGGACCTGGGAACACCAGTAATTAAGAAGTGGTTCCATGCTCCTCAAAATCTCCCTGCTGCAAGATGTAGTTTAATGTCATACCCAGGATGCCTCATTTGTCTTACTTCTCTGTAGAGGTGCAGTCAGCGTATTCTGAAGCCCCAGCCAACAGGGCATAATTCAATTATGTACACTACCAGGGCCACATATGATTTTGAATACAAAGTTGCCCCTCACCTCTAATGTTTACAAACCAACTCAACAGTCCAGTCTGTCCTGCTATTTAATCCATAGCTGGGGGGAGGGGAGAAGAAATGGATTCATACCTTTCCCTATGGTATATTTGTGTGAAAGTGAATGTAATGATCACAACCAGAATTCACACTCACTTTGCTGATTTCTTGTTCTGAATTACCATTAAACCACCTGCACATCCATGTCAAAGTGATCAGAAAAATATCTGTATTGTGAATTTATATGAACAATGTCTACATGTATGGCAATTCTTTCTCTCTATCTCTCACACACATGTACGAAGGTGGGCTGAAAAGTTCATAGGCTGACTATGAAAGAATGATGCTTGAGCCGTGAAGTTTTGCAGGCATTAATTTTTACTCTTCTTATTGCATTGTTTCTTTCCAGGTACGATGGTGGGCTGAAATGTTTATAGGCTGAATATTAAAGAGTGATGCTCAAGCTGTGAAGTCTTGCATGTATTAATTTCAACTCTTCTTATTAATAACTGCATTGTTTCTTTCCAGGTAAAATCTGATTTCAAAAGTAACTAGTAATATATGTTATTCTATTTTCACAATTGTCTATATGGTAGATGATACTCAGCTTTTGTACATATACAAGAGAGTGGACATAATTACTACAGGTGGTGATATGTGTGTGTGTTTTATGTTATAGTTTTGTTGAAGTTATATTTTTGAAGAGTAAGCGTTCTCAAAGCAAATTTGTGGCTTTCACCACACAAAGAAAGAAAATCACTTGTAACACGTCAGGAAAATAATTCACGAACGCCGTAGCCAAAACTGCCCGAATTTTCCTCCCGAGTCGACAACACCAACTGCTTTTATCGGCAGAACCTATTTTTTCCATTCGTCGACAGCCGGGATAGGATGCTCTGTAATTTGCATATTAATACACTCTTATAGCGACTCCTGCGACGAACTTGTTTCTTTTTCGCTTGGGTTGACGAGGTAAGTCGCTATAAGAGGTTTGCTGACTACTTTTTGGCAATCCCTCCCCGGCAGATCGCACACAAAAGTAGTCAGCAAAACTCTTTTCTTTAAGAAATTGTTGGCTATTATATAGATTAATGTCATGTTGGACAGTTGATTTTGTTTTGTGGCATATAAACCTCTATGGGTTATTTAATGTGTAAATCTAAATATTTTGAACACAATTGTATGCATTCAACTAAATATATTTTGAATGCAATTGAATGCCTTCAACTACAGATAAAATATATTGTTGATCATTTGCAGATGTCAGGTATGTGTGTGTGTGTGTGTATATGCGTGTGTGTGTGTATATATATATATATATATATATATATATATATATATATATATGAGGGAGGATTGAAAAATACTCAGCCCAGCTGGCTTCCCAAAATATGACATAATGGTCAAAGATCACAAAATAATATCAAATTTATTTTAGAATCTCTTCTTGGCTGTCCAAGAACTTTTCAGACTTTCTTTATATACATGTATTAACAATGCCTATATCCATAAAATTTTATATGTGGACTGTTGAAAGGATCCTCTCCCTCATAAATATATAAGTAAAGGAATAATGGCAAAAAAAAATCATTAAATACTCTTACCTGTACATTGAGTTCTGGCAGTGAAATCCTGATATAAGCAGTTCCAACATTTTCTTGGTCAGGAATTGGAATATAGTCACTTGAATTCATCATGAGATCAACATCTTCCATGTCCATTGGGAAATCATAATCATCCCTGAAGGATGGCATTGTGCGCACAGTGGCATTTCTGTTCACCATTTTTTAATGTTGACAGTGATACCACCTCAATTAGATTACTGAAATAAGAGAAAATAATATCTTTGGAACCAGGTGGATACTTTGATATTATATAGGTATTTATCTTTTCATTTATCAAACACAAACTAACAAAAAAGGGCATGGATGGTGTGCTCGAAGGGCACATCATTTATATTCAAGTAACATTATATTAGCAGAAGATGTGTGTTGATGGGACTTTGACCATGTAATGAATGTAAAAAGTGGACATTATACATTCTGAAGGAGGAGGAAGACAGAATTTTTTTTTCAAAGCATTTGCACTTAGTTCTTTCATAGCAATTGTTTAAGCATCTAGCATTTAAATTTTGGTGTTTGAACACACACTACTTGAAGCAGATAAATTGAAATAAAAAATCTTGTCTCTGCTTTATATGAATTGAAATAAAGAGACTTCATCTTTTAGTTAACTTCTTTTTCTATTCTCTTAATTACACCAATGATTGTTTCAACATCCTGAGAAGGGAAAGTGAGTATCAAACTCATTTTAATACATTTGCAATGAATCTTTTTAAAAAAGTGCTCATAAATAGACGGCACTTATAAGTCATTAAAAGTGATAAGTAATAAATTTGTAGACAATAGATAAAATCTTATATTTGTAAATAAACAATAAAATATACTAGTTAATCAGTAAATTGGGTATTTTTTTATCTCAGTCTTTTTTCCAGATAATATTGGTATGTGTATTAAACATATTTTCATTTCTTAATCAACTATTAGCTCATGTATATTTTTGAAGCTTATATAATCCTCTACAGGTGTTAAATTCCAATGATCCTCATTGTTCTAAATATTTTTACCTGCTTGTGATTAGGTCCTCTCTTTTTTTACCTTGTGTTTTAAAGAATTGTAGTTGAAAAAACATTGTCATCCAATTCTGGATTTTATTTCTAGGGATTGGTAAGCACACTTAAAATTTTTAAACCAGTTTTGGAAACTTTGGTTAGATATTAATTCATTTCTTTCCACTTTGTGTATTCTGAAAGTAGCTTCAACAGCTTTGAGGCCCAGTTTAAAATAAGCCTGCAGAATTTCTAAAATCTCAAAACAAAATGAACATTACTGTTAATAATAATAATAATAAACCTACTCTACATGGATGATCTCAAACTCTTTGCCAAAGACGACAATGAGTTGAAAGGTCTCCTCAATATTGTAAAATACTTCAGTGACGACATAGGTATGGACTTCAGATTAGATAAATGTGCAAAAGTAACTTTCAAGAAAGGTAGAATTACAGAAACACCCTTAATAGATTTAGATTTTGTCACAAAGATTAGGGAACTGGAGCATGATGAAGCTTATAAGTACCTAGGAATTAGCGAAGGAGATGGCATACAACACCCCCAAATGAAGGAAAAAATAAGAAAAGAGTACTACAGGCATGTACGTCTGGTACTAAATACTGAGCTAAACTCAAAAAACAGGATATCAGCCATAAACACATTGGCTGTCCCTGTGGTGCAATACAGCTTTAATGTCCTTTAATGACCATAGCTGAAATTAAGCGAATGGACACCAAAACGAGAAAGCTTCTCACTTGCTATTGCATGCATCATCCCAAAGCTGATGTTGATCGTCTGTATGTGCCCAGATCCGAAGGAGGCAGAGGATTAGTTCAACTAGAACTGTTCTACAAAACTGCAACAATTGGCCTCCAAAGATATTTGGAAACTACAGAAGAATGGATGATGGTATGCGTCAAGGAACATGAAAGTAGTAAGTGTCTTTACTCCATAATGAAAGAAGCCAACAAATTCAAAATGGAGTTTCAAATGGGCGTAGAGATGCAACTACAGCACAATACACCGGCTGAAACTGCAAAATACCTAAAAAAGACAGCAAAGACGAATGCAACTGACCTGATACAGAAGCGATGGCAAGATAAACCGCTTCATGGCCAATACTCTGCCCATACCAAACAAGCTGACGTAGACAAAACCTGTACCCATCAGTGGCTACGTAGTGCAGGGTTGAAAGCGGAAACTGAAGGTTTTATCCTTGCTGTGCAGGACCAATGCTTGCTAACTAGGAATTATCAAGCACATATACTAAAAGATTCTGCGATAAGTATCCAGAAACGATTGATCATCTTGTATCAGGCTGCATGGTGTTGGCACCCACTGAATATGAAACCCGACATGACAGAGTGGGCCAATATCTGCACCGGAAAATCTGAAACTTCTACGGGAAGGAAACTGAAAGAAAATGGTATGAACACCACCCAGACCGGTTACGGAGATAGGACCTGTTACAAATTCTATAGGACTACACAATACACACTGACACAATCAAGGCCAACCGCCCAGATATTGTTATTAAAGACCACAAACAAAAACAGTGCCTCCTTATTGATATGGCAGTCCCTGCTGACTGCAATATATCTTTGAAGATATTCAAAAAGTTGTCAAAATACAAGGACCTTGAAATAGAAATCTCGAAAATGTGGCATATGGGAACATCAACAATCCCTGTTGTAGTTGGAGCCCTAGGGCTGGTTGGAAAAGATTGCAGTAGACTAATTGAAGGGATTCCTGGAAATCCATGCCTCAAGGAGATACAAAAAATTGTTCTGACAAGTACAGCCCACACCTTACGAAGGGCTTTATCTATGTAATTTTTTTTTTTTTGTCAGTGGAAAGTGTCATGACGCCATTTCTAACCTTAGGTCCCTGGGCGGGACCTGGAAAGAAATGTGTAAACGCCAGAAATCAAAGAAAATAATAATAATAATAATAAACACAAACAATCAAAGCTATCACCCAGATATTGTAGTCAAAGACCACAAAATAATATGGTTTCATATAGACATAGCAGTTCCTGTAATGTATCTCTGAAGATCTTCAAAAACTATCAAAATACAAGGATCTTAAAGTGGAAATCACAAAAATGTGGCACATGAAGATGTCTATAATTCTAGTTGTGGTTAAAGTCCTGGGTTTGATTGTAAAATGTTCTGATAAACTACTTGAAGAGATCTCGGGTAACCCGTGCCTTAAAGAAATACAAAACTTGCTCTCAAAAGTACAGCTCACATCTTACGAAGGGCTTTATCAATGTAAAATGTGTGTACTCTTAGGTTCAAAAATGTTCAGTGAAAATGTCATGATGCCATTTCTGAACTTGAAACATAGAAGGAAATGAGTATATAGGAAATAAATCCTTATTTCCAACACAATTACATACCCACATGCATACTGTATTAAAACACACCCAAAACATTATTTTCAACCCAATAGCAGGCAATATTACAAACATGCCAACAAGATTTCACAATACAACACACCATTTAAATTAAAGTGTCTATTGGTTAGAAATTAACATCACCAGGTGATATATTTGACTGATCAGAGTAGATTAAATCAATATTTTTCTTGAGCCTTTTTTCAGGTGAGGGAGGGATTTCTTATAATAGCCTACAGATTTCAACTTTCAAAGAGCAAAGTTGTGACGTAACTACATAGCTTTTACCTTTCCTTTCCTTTCCCCGCAGCACATGCTGAAAAAAACATATGCTAGTGACTTCAAACAAATTATCTCCAACAACAACATGGAAGGTCAGTGAATCTTCACTGACAATAAAAGATTTTTTTATCAACCAGAGTTTTGTTTTATTTTTTACTGTGGACCAAATATTTAATATTAATTTCTAAACTACAGATGTTTTTCGGTGTACCAATTACCCAAAGGTTTTAACTAAATGAGAGAATATTTTTAATATTTTTTTTAACTCTTTTGAATTGATGTACATATGTTTGTAAATACAAATGATTTAACAGGCATGAGACCATGTTTTCTTTATTTTTATTTTATTATTGTTTGGAATTAGGACGTTTGAATTTTTAATATAAAAATATGAATGACTACATTTCAACAACAGAAACAAAAAAAAATAATAATAATAATAATAATAATAATAATAATGAACTCAGAGAGATTCTTCAGATGTGCACAGGAAATAATCTTTGGTGAAAAGGTCTGTAATAAATAAAAATACTTTTTTATGCATTCTAATTAAATAAATTATTACTCTTTCATGTGCCATGTCTCTTCAGGACATAGGTGATCATGGCTCTCCACAATTTCCTGTCCTTAATTAAATAGATACATTTCATAAAAAGTTTAAATTACATTATTTGATTCTTTTAGCAAATGTATTATTATACTGAAAATTCTTTGATTAATGGGAAATAGAGTTGACACATTTACATATGAAAGCTAATAAAATTAAAAGTAAGGATAAGTTATTGTGATTATAAGAAGGTTTTCATATAGAAGTGTTTACACTAGACATAAAAATAATGAGATCATATTTATTTGCTGCTATTATAACAAGGAGGTGCTGAAAAGGTCTCAGCCCAAACAAGAATCTCTCCCCATAAAAATACTAATGTTCTGGTCATTTGATCAGATTTTGGGAAGTGAGCTGAACTGAGAACTTTTCAGCACCCTCCCACCTTGTAGAAAGGCTTTTATATATAATTTCTTACTAATGCCATGAAAGGTAATTACATAGAGGAAGTTGATAATTTCAGTTCTTACTATTATTTTTGGAAGAATGGTTGGTTCTTGCATCATTCCTGAAAATGACAAAGTCTTGCTGCCATGTTCTAGTTTTATAAGATAAAGATCAGACCAAGAATGGAGTATTACTGCCATATCTGGGCTGCTTCCGCCCAATTTCCAACCTTGACAGATTTCAAAAACAGTTATGTGGCCTTGTGGGTGATAAATTATTTTCCACTGTGCCACTCTTATGTAATAAACGAAACACTGCGAGCCTCTTGCTATCCTATTACTATGTTAAATGTTCTCCTTAGACCCACAGCTCGGACCTTCACAACTATGTTTCCTCATGCCATATTCACAGTTGTAAACCATCCTCCATTGCCTAAGACAGGTTCTTCCCTGAAACTATTACTTTGAGG